GATCCATCCCATGGATATTTTGAAGAATTTTCCTCAAACCCCAGTGGCAGGGTTTGAATTCCTTTTGGGAGAATATAGATCATGGAGCAGCTCAGCTCTTTCCCTCTTTGCTATGACATCTCACATGTGTGCTAGCAGCCTCCCAGGAGCAGGGACCTCACAAACATAGAACCTCCCTCTTTAAAAAGCAAATATCTAAATAGACAGTAAACCTCAGGTAGGGATGCACTTAGGACAGTATGCAGAGGCCTCACTACATCAGCAACAGAACTACAGCTATTTCTGTAGCTGGGAGCAGAAGAAAGGGTTGGTGCTTTTGGGGGGAAAGCACAGAGGTCCTCACTTGGAAGTGTATCACATGTTAGATGGAAGCTGATAGGATGGGCAATTCAGAGGTAGGACTAAAATGTCAGGGATTGCCAGACATGGGAGAAAGGCCAGATAGAGCCTTTAAAGCAAAACCAGACAGTTTTAAATCAGGGGAGGTAGGAGGAGAGGTGCCATATTAAAAGCAGCAGTCTTTGGTGGAAGCCCTTCTCTGAGCACAGGAATGGAGACGAGCAAAGCTAGGCTGGAAGTACTTAGATAAGAGAAATGCATGCCTCTCAGGAACAGACATAAGGACATGGAAAAGCAGCATGGAACAGCAGCTTTGGATGGACAGACTCCTTCAAAACCTCTGTGAAATGTATCATTATTATATTACACAGGGTTGTACAAGAGATTCAGTTACAGTTTTGAGGCTCCTTTCTGAGTCTGGAGCACTTGGATCATCATTCATTTCTTCTTAAGTCTTTTTTTTCTGCAGTTAGCATGTGCCACGGATCCTTGCCAGTGCCTGATCCACGACGTATAAGGAGAACCAAACAAATTCACGACCGTGGGCATACAGTGTGCTACCCTAGATGAACTGCCTGTGTCCACTGCCACCACCCCAGCCCTTCTTCCCCAGATGCCAGGTAAAGCATTAAGCTGGGTGAATGGGATTTCAATTGATGTTTCAATGAGAGTGTTCCAGCCTAAGTCGTGTCACTGTGCAGCTGCAAGGGACTAAGATTAGATAGGGAGATAATTATTTTTTTTTTAACCAGCCAACATCACTGGAAAAGAAGAGACAAAATTTCAGGCACGTAAGCTTCCTTCCATGCCTATGTTTGCATACATCATCAACTGAAGCCGCTCAGCATCTGGCCATAACTTGTTAGTCACTATAACTCACTCATGCTTGATTGAATGCCCATTCCCTGAATCTCTCATGAGCCCCAACTTGCAGGCTTTGTGTATTGTTCTAGCTCAAGACCCAACTGCTTCTCCTTTCAGTTCTCAAGTTCCCTGGTTGAGTCCCAGGTGCGTTGGCCAAAATGATGTCCATCATCTCCTTTAAAACAAAAAACAGGCAAACAAAGGAGATACTCTCTTTCACACACCCTCCAATAAAGTGCCATCAGCAGCTAAACCAAATCCCAAGTATTGGGGACTTATAATGACATCGTGAGAGTTAGCAAGAGAGAAGCTCCCCTGGTGATTATAACAACACCGGTGCTCAAGAAGAGTCTTAGCTTTAAGGCATCTGGAATTGTTCTTGCAAGATCCATTGTCAAGTGAGCTTTTTCCTTTGTTTAAAAATGTCAGGCTGAAGACCCCTGCCAGAGTGGTGGTATAGCCTGCTTGGGCTCATTCTGGCTCCCACAAGGCTTCAACAGTTCTCTTTGCCCCTCCTTGTCTCCAGGCTTAATTAGGAAATCATTTATCTTTATTGGCACTCTCTTTCCCCTGCTGCTTTGGCATTATTATTATTTTTTGCCTTCATTCCAGAGCAGTGAGCTGCGCAGGGAAGACCACAGCCCCATTCATTGTGGGTGGGGAATAATCTACAGCAGGGAGCTCTACAAGGAAGACCCCAGCAATGAATCTGCCCCAGCTAGCATTGCCTCGGGGACTACTGTACAGAAACAGGAGAGCAGGGTATCCCTTGGCTCCACTTACAGGCTAACAATAGGGATTCCTGGTGATACTGAAAGTAGGACACTACTCCCAAGGGATGTCATATGGTCAGCCTGTCCCAAACTGAACTGCCAGCCCACTCCAATCTAATGATACGCCTACTGTATCACCCAGCGATCTCTCTTGGTAAGAGAGCACACAAAGAGAAGAGGCTGTAAGGACAGCAAGCAGGCTGCCAGGCTCTCAGACCACATCCCTCTGATTTCAGCCCACAATGTGCATGTTTCGGGGTAGAGCCCCGATGCACCCTGAAGTTGGGTAGTGTCCCTACACGTCAGCACAAAGAAAGTCCCCTGCCTCCCTCCGGAGCTGTCGTTTGACCACGTGCCAGGACAGTTCGAGAGTCAAAACTCAACCTTCACTTCTTGGCACCTCGATCCCTCTCAGGTGCATTCACAGGAGATGCTGGCCCTTTGGCAGCTCGGAAGGGGTGGGCCAGTCACTAAGCTTTACTTTCACTATGGAATGCAGTTCTTTCTGGGTAATTTCTCAAGGTCCCTATCTACTGTGCTTTATTTAAATTGAGCAGGAGATAAAAGTCCAGCCAATAATTTCTTCCACCTTAACGAGAAATTTCCTCTCTGTGCAAGCCGGGCTTGCCCCAGCCTGTTACTAATTACAGATGGAACACACAGTTCAGAAGGGAGGAATCAGAATTGTTCCCCTCCCTCCAGCAAATACCCATTGGAAAAAAAAGAAGAAAAACAAAAACAAAAACAAAAACCTCCCTTGTTAGATGGCATCAGAAAGTTTGTCAAACTGAGTTTGAAAAACAAGAGGAAAGAGGATTGATGGAAAAGCTGAAGAGTGACATACAGTTAACTGCTCCTCTTGTCCTTATAACTCATATTTCCCTTACTCTTCAACTCTAGGAAGGGCGGTAGAATTGGATAAAAACTCGATCGCATCTAGGAGGGCTTCAGTTCATCTTTCTAGCTAGAGATGCTGAGGCTCTTTACACACACAGGGAAGCTCCATTTTGCAGGAAGGAAAGTGAGGCAAACAGTGGTAAGGGCATGAGCCACTTCATGCTGTTATGTTCTTGTCTCCTATCCTAATCCTTCACATGTCATCTAAGAACCACAGAGCTGCAGGTACAGAATCAAATCCAAAGCTGTGCCCACTTCTGCACAGGATTCACATGGCCAAGGGACATGCTATGGACAACACCTCCTCCTCCAGGGCACGGCTTCTTTTGCCTGGCTGCAGCAGACAAGTCAGTTAGGGCTTTGGATCAAATTTTTAAATAAATGATCACATGCACCTGGGCAGGTGTCACATGGTCTGTGAAGATTTTTGTCTTTTGTGCTTTTCCCATGAAAGTCCCTTCCCAGTGTTCAGGTTTAGGCCTTTGGAAGCCTCACTCTACTCTTAACTGTAAGAAAGAGCAAAGGATTACCTTGAGACCAATCTTACCTCTAATTGGAGCCAGGTGCAAGCCCCAGTTTTTGTGCATTAATCACCATCTAGAAAGTCTTCTTTTCTCAGCTTTACAGTTTGGAATGCTTCTCCTAACATGCTGGCAGTAATGATGTGCACTCATCTCCCATGCCCAGCTTTGCTTCCCTCTGCTGCTCATCCCCATTTGCTATTTAATGAAGAAACACAGATTCCCAAGCACTCTTTGATCCTCAAACTGCATCAGCACACAGCAGTTTTTAACGTACTCTTCTGCATGCAGCCAGGTCCAGAAGGAGGAAGGTCCAACATCATTATCATCCTTCTCTCTATTTATAGAGAGATAATATATATTTATATATATTATATATATATATATATTATATATATATATATTATATTATTATATATATATATATATATATTTATAGAGAGATAAATATATATTTATCTATGAGAGAGACTCAGGTGCTGGCAGAGCCAGGTGCTCAGCTTTCTCTAAGATGTTTGTCCTCGGGCTTATTATGCCAGCAGGAAGCACTTCTAACACGCACGTGGCTTTGGCCTCTCACTGGCAGGCTGCGAGCCAACGCGCTGCCATGGAAACTAGGAAATGCCAAGTTATGACTTGACAACCGTGTTTTAAGGCTGTTCTTCCCCACTGGTGTCCCCGACCCAGGGGCTGCGTGGGAGCTGCTGTGGGTGGGATGCCGTCCTGCCACTGCTCTACACCGGACATTTGAGACGTGCCTTTAAAATCAAAGCTAACAGGATTTCAGCGAAATGAGAGCAATTGACAATGACCCATTTGAGCAGTTGAAGAATTTCTAATTATAAAAGCAAATACTCTGTCAACGGCACGATGAGAATAGATGAGCTATTTTTCACACACTGAGGCATAACATATGTTGGCATAAAATTAGTTTTAACATTTCCAAGGGATCAGGCAGTTGCAAGTCGACTTTGTTGCTGGCTAGGTCAGGATATATGAATGTAAGCACAGTCACAATTACAGAATAACTTTAGGATATATCATATGTAAATATTTGGCCTTGAAAAAAACAACAACACGGATTGATTTAAACAAAAGTGCAGTGGGAGCCCCTTATCCCTGGTTCACAGAATCACAGAATCATTAAGGTTGGAAAAGGCAGAGTGTGAGATCATCTAGTCCAACCCCAACCCATCCCCACTGTGGTTCCTGTCCCTGCTGTTTCCCACCCCTCAGTTACCTGTTGGATTTTGCAGCATTACCCCAGAAGAAACTATACCAAGAAAAATAACGCATGCAGATCCTTGGCTTGACATAAAAGGTGAATGGCCACTTCAGTCACAACCTGCAATAGGGCCTAGCCACAGAGCTGCCTGAATAGGCACTGGTTTCCCAATACAACCATCTCTCTCAGTTTCGGTCCTGATAATCCATCAAACCTCCCAGCCCTGCCATGCCTGCCCATCTGACCCGGCTTCCCTGCCTCTTTTGCATTTGCCTGGGAGCTCAGCATCACACAGAGCAAGCTGGGAAGTTTGCAGGGCTGCTCCCCAAGTCCCAAACTCAGCGTTAGTTAGAGGGCAGGGCAGCCCCATAGCATACTTACTTCCCATTCCCATACTTGATCCGGATGTCTTTGCTCTTCTTCAGCTCTTTGCCATCTTTAAACCATTTGTAGGATGGCTGAGGGTTGCCAGCAGTCACCTCACATTTCAGTGAGATCTTTTCACCAACGTGCACGTTTGGGCTTTTCAGTTTCTTCAGTTTGGGAGGGACAGCTACAAAAAGAGAAAACAGACAATGTGAAACTCATCTTTGTCAGAGAAACACGTGTGATGCCAGCCCCCTCAGAATCCATCTGAAACGTGTGTGCTGTCCCCACTGCCGCACGACGGTTTCACTGCTCCCAGCTTTCACTGGGGGTCACAAACGCTGGCTGGCTCGAGGTGCCCAGCACACAGCTCCCTCCTCGCTCAGCTCCACATGGCCAGACTTGATGGCACTGCAGCTGCCCATACACTGCCCAGCAGCCCCATATGCTTTCTTGCTCTCCCCACCAGGACTGTCCAGATGCAGATGCAGAAGCTCAAGCTCTTCAGAGACAGTTTTTCCCCGCATCCTGCCCTTGCTGACAACAATTACCGACACCTCTGTGATCACTGCCACTGCAAAGCACGCTGCCCATCCTACTGAACCATCCCCAGGGAAAGCTGCCAAGACAGACAGCCATTCAGCTTGACAGCATCACCAGCAAAAGCAACAGCCACAAGGAAGGGCAGCATGAAAACTTACACATGTAAAGGACAAGAAGGGAGGGACAGCACTTCCCTGGACCACAGATAAAAAGGTGAAAGAATAAAAGCGCTTGAAAAAGCTTTAGGACTTGTAGTTTCAGGTTGGTTGGACTGAAGGTGGGCTCTGCATGTGAGCTTTCCTGAGTGTTTAAGAAAGGGGATTTTACCACATACCTGGAACATCAGGCAGGAGAGAGATCGAGAGAGAGAGAGAGAGACAGAGAGTTCTCTTTATCAGTTTCTGCCAGACTTTATATTATACCTGACATGCGTGCATTAGAAGGCTTGCAATTCTTCTTTCTGCTTTTTCATTTTTCAATCTAACCTTAAAAAAGTAAACACCAAGTTCCTGGTTTTGCCTTAAGATTATTGCCAACAATGGTTTCCTCTTGTCTAAGATCAAGTTTTTCCTCTGACTTATGCTCGTGAGTTTTCTTTTAGCTGCCTTACTGCATCCTGATTTTGGATATGGGACAACAAAAGGAGGAGGAATGTGATGGGTTTCATTAGAGAGATGATTATTTTGTACTGTGTCTCCTCTCACTATACAAGGGATGTAAAGGAGGCATGTTTAGCACATCGAGGGCAAATGAATGAGCCACACCACATAGTTTTCTCTCTTGTTATTTCTGCACACCCAAACCTGCTACAGTCTCCCTAGAAATCTGTGCCAGAGGAAGAAGGATGGGGAGGGCTGCATGTATTAATGGGGCAGAAACAGCAGTAAACAGCTACAAGCATTTGCTTTAGGCCAAACACCGGTCTTGCACCGCTTCCCAGGCCACTGTGCTTTGGCACAGAGAAAGAGACTTCTGAATAAAACAGATCTCAGCTTTCCCCACATTTCAGAACTTCTGTGAAACTCCAAGGTGCCGTGGGTTTTGCCAAGTCAATATCCCTGATCCTTGCCTGGAAACAGGTTCATCCAAAAGAACAGGAAGGCAATGAATGGAGGAGAGGAGAGCTTGTCTCTTCTCAGAACACTATGCACAGAGAATCAGGAAGGTAAACGGGACCTTGTTTTTATAGGGGTCATTTTGGGGAATAGAGAAATAGGCTGTCAAATATTTATTCTGTCTGAATGTGTGTGTCGGTTGGCTGCTATTGTACACTGAGGTCACCGTGCTCCATGCCAACTCCATACACGTGCTTTAAATACTGGTAAGGTCCCGACCTTGGCACTGGTGCATCTGCTTCGCATTAGTTCCAGTAGTTCCAGGCTGGCGGTCTGCAGCGTTGTGAAGCAGGCAGCATCTGGGAGAGATGGGCCAACCCTGACCCTCTCCAGAGAAAATGCTGGCGAGAGAAGTGCAAAGCCCCAAAACCCAGAAACCACTGAAGGATGAGGCTAAGGAAGAGCAAGAAACTTTCCAAGGTCTCTACTTCTCAGTTCCTTCCCACCTGTGTGCAATCCGTCTCCTCCAAACCAACACATGGCTCTCTTGCATCTTCTACTCTTGGCCACCGGTAATAACTTGCACAACATTCCCCAACAGGTAGGCCCACAGAGAAACAGAAATCCTCATTTACAGCCATTAACTGATGATGAGCTTGCTGAAAGCCAGCCCAAGAGCTTCCCCTGCTTTTTGTTCTTATTGTTTAAACTGCAGCCCTTCCTCCTAACCTGAACTGCTTCAACTTTGGCTTACTGCCAATGGATCTTTCTCTGGTAAATTTGAATCCCATCTAGCAACCAGAAACCTCTTCCCTTTTTAGGTACGTGTAAACTATGAATGAATCACCTTTCAACCTTCTCCACCAGTAAACTAAAGTAGCTTGAGAGACAAAGGCAGCACACTAATACTGGAGTATGTCACAGAATGTTTTAAATTTTGGTTCACTTCCAGCTTTAGCATCTAACCATTTCCTCTCTCTGCCCCATCCAAACCACAGAGTTGAAGCTCACAAAGTTGTGAGATCGGTTCAAACCAACGTGAGGATTAAAAGTGCCCCTTTTCTTTGTGCTCTGAGCATTTTGGGTCAGTTCACCTTTTCAAACACATTGGAAAAAAACAAGTGAAAACAACATGCTATGCCTGGCAGTCTCAGCAATATTCCAAGGGAAGTCCAAGTGCACTTACCCCACGCTTCCCCCAGCTGCCTGCTTCCCAGACCTCTCTGCACAGGTTACTGCTGCTCCAGTGCAGTCACCAGCAATTCTGGCAGACTCAGAACACTGAATCAGGTCCACCCTCTTTAACAGCTCTAAATCTCACAGTTCTGCTCTGCCACTTCCTGATCTCCTCCACAGGTAGGTTAGCAGCATATGCCATGCATTTGCCACTGCCTCTGGATTCATGAGAAGGAGGAGGGGGTTTGTGATTGTTCTTGTTCGACTGTAGTTACAGATAGCTTTAGGCAAACGTTTAGGATCCGTGTCTCTGGCCACCCTGCAATCCAGTCAAGCCCTCCTCTACCCAAATTTGAGTGTCTTCTCTGTGGAGAAGGGTACGATGTGCTGCAGAAAGGAAGGTTTAATCATGGTAGGGCCATGAACAGCAACAGATTTTCAAGGGGTTTTGCTCACTCCTAAGTCAGATGAAACCCAAATAATTATTAAATCCCAGACAATGCTATCATGTAGGTCACAGGAACTAAATTAACCCTGAAAGGTGCAAGGACTCACATCAACAAATGCACACCATTCCTCATCCTGTTTGAACAGAACTGTTCCATTAAGAGGCCCTTCCAGGACAGGTTTGTCTGCTGACAGCAGTCCTGGAGCCTACTGCTCCAGGAGAGGAGAGGGTTACAAAAGTCTAAAACTTGAGTCCTAAATTGCACCACACGAGTTGCTTGAACACTCACAAGGCCTCATATCTGCACACTGCTTTAACTAATTCACTTGTGATTACATGTGATACTACATTGAAGTACCTTGATGATAACAACACCTCTTTCACTCCTGGTACCTGGCATATGCCTGAAAGCACCTTCAGAGCCTGAACTCAAAACATAATTAATCATAAATGGGCAGAGTGCCTGAAAAGGCTCCTACAATGGAACAGCAACAAACCACATCCCACCCACAAAGCATCCTACATAAACAACCCTTCGGCAGCGTGAAGCAGAAGCAATTAGTCCCAGGAAAGGTGCTCAAAGAATTCTTTCAGAGCCAGCAACGCTAGCTGCAACCACTGCTTCAAGAGTTGCATCTTGCTCACTGTGGGAGATCCTAAAGGCCGGGAAATCTACAGACACATCGGGGATCTCCAGGTAATAGACATCATGAGTAGATGTGACTTGCCTTCCTGTCCTCTAGAGGATGAAGTGCCAACCACTGGAGGCTTCCCAAGATGCAGGCCCCAGAACTGCTCTTCCATGCAAGTGTCAGGGCTTCCACCTTCTCAGTTACTGTGTTGAGGTGGAGAACCTGAAGGTCCAGCAATTTCTCCAGGGGTCTGCACTCTCCGTTCTCAACAGGGAAATCCTAAAGGATGCTATAGGCACAGTCAAGGCTTCCAGGTTCCTTATCATTGAGAGATAGGATCTGGAAGCATGACACCAGTCCAAACCCTGCCTTGGAGGTTGTTGTTCCCTGGGGTCCTGGAGAGCCACCACCACTGTGTGGTTCAAAGTCCCGCTCTCACAAGTACAGGCTTTCCCCTTTAGTAGAGAACCTCGTATGTGTCAATGAGTGTCAATGTTCTCCCAGATGGAAAATTTCAGAATTCATCTTCCCATAAGAAATTATTTGCAGCGCCAAATCACTCCAAATTCAATTACAGAAACTGTTGTGAAGATGGCATTCCTTACCAAAGAGAAATTTTCCATTTCTGTCATCATTATTACAAGGTGTGCCTCTGGCACAATGGTTCACCGTACACATCTGAAGTCCAGAGCGATGTTTGGTGGGTCAGCACTGCCTATGCTGGGTGAATACGTCTTCCTGACTAAAGCAGCCCAGCTGTTTGTGGCATGTTTGCTGTGATTAGGGTTCGGGTTAGGATTAGGCATCAAAGGTGATGCTCCCTTGGTCCACATCTGATCTAACCTTCATTTGACAAGGAGACAAAACTGAATCTCACTGGCAGCAGCTCCTGTGTACATTGACACTTTGACAGCTTCAACACCGGCACCAAACTCTCCTTGCTCTGAAGGAACCTCCCTCCAGCCAGAAAGAACAGAAACATGAAGAAAAAAAACAAAAACAAAAAAACCCCAAAACATAACAGCTCAATGCTGCAGAAGTTTGCCCTGTCAGATACATGGATGACAGCGATATCACCTAGCCAGCACAACCCCCACAAGTCAGCTCACAGCCCAGAGCTTGTTCAAGGGAACCCCCACGAGCCACTGACACATTGCCTCCTTCACCCTCTGCTGCTACCTGCCAGTGGGTAATTACAGGTTTCGCACCAGGAATATAAAACATAACAGTGTCTGTAATACAACTTTAGCTTTAGGCAATTTACATTTCACAGAATTTCAGAATTACAGAATGGATTGGGTTGGAAGGGACCTCAAGGATCATCAAGATCCAA